GTTGTAGAATCGTTAGTATTAGAACTACAGAAATATGCAAAGAACAAAAATTGTAGATTTTTTTCCGCTTAATAAGATACGTTTATTAATATTTATTCTTCTTTTATAATTTTCGAGTTATAACGCAAACTTACAATTTTTTAAATGGTAATCATAGTTGGCTGTGACATTTTTAAAAAGTGCATTTTTTTCTGTTTACAATGATATAAGGTTCATTGTACTTACTTTGACAAATAAACATGATACAGTACTGTTTGTATTATTAAGAGTAGTAAAAACAGATTTTGCCATGGGAAACATTTTTGTTCTCTTAATTACTGTCTATTATAATATTTAACTTGCAGTTAGTTGTGCGGTGGGGCACCGTTGTGTTGAAACCAGCGTAAATTACGTCGTGTTTCCAAATCTAACCCATCCTAACATATCTGGAAATTCATTTGGTAGAAAATGAAGATAACATTGGCCTGTCCAATTTTCGTCGTAAATGAAAGGTACCTATCTCACTAGATATTGTTTTCCATGGCAAACTCTGTTTATTTACCTCTCAATAATACGAAAATTCCTGCAGCGCGTTTATTTATTAAAGTACAAGACTTATTATATCGTTATAAAGAGAAAAATTTGTCCTTTTTAAAAATGTCAAAGTCAACTATGACTACCATTTAAAAATTTTGTTATATTTCTAATAATAACGATTCTACAACAATTAAATGAAAAATCACTAAATCTGTTTTTCGCTCATATCTAGTGAACTGTGATTTTTTTTCAAAAAACAATAGCATATCTGAAATAAGCTCTTAAAACGACAACTCTTTCCTCATTTAACCGAATCCGTATGTCTTAAGGTAAGTTCATAGCTCTCCGTTCATACGTTTCCGTTTGTCCGTTAGCCAATCAGAAGACAGCAAATTTTTAAATCGTACGTCGTCCGTTTACGACGGAAAAGTTGGTTGAAGTTGAACATTTACGTTTCCGTTGGTCCGTTTTTAACAAGAGTGAGGTTATGTTTGGTACGTTAACAGCGTTCGCCTACTCGTTCTTCACGGTAATATGCCAGATAGCAATGTGTTCTTACTTTCGTACCATTTTTACATACTGAAAATCATTGACGGTACAGTACAAAATAAAGTTTAGGTTATGATTATACTTGCAAATGTACAATGTGGACGGATTGCTATGAACCTTAACAAAATTTTCTATCCGTTTGACGGATCAACGCAACGGATGAACGGACAGCTATGAACCAACCTTTATGGTTTCCGAGATCCCAATGCTTAAAATGAAAAAAACTCACCCTGTATATAGAATGTCCCATGGAATAGGTAGCACTCAGGGTTCTGGGTGATGAAAAATAAGAAAAAAAACAAAACAAAATCTATTCGAAGCAACAAAACAATGAAAATAATTACATCAGATGTTTAAAAAATCAGGGGCGCACTCATGAGAGGGGGGTTTGGGCATTAAAACTCTCTCCAAAATTTTATATTAAGTAGGCCTAGAAAAATTTTGATTTTTATAACATCACTTATTGACTATCTTATTATCCATACTTACATACCTACAAATGGTGGTATAACTACAAACTATCCCCTCGAAAAAATATCATGCCATTATCAAGTTAAACACATTTCAAGACACTTCGCTTTATTTTACACAATGTATTACCATTGATGCATTGTCCCAGGTCACATTTTGTAGGTGGTTTAGCCGCAAGAATATCGAAACTTAACAGTTTTACCAGTTCGAGTATGTGGACAGATGAATCTTATTTTTCTAACTGCGGAGTGTTCAAATCGACATAATGAACACTACTCGTCACCGGAAAACCTACATGTTGTAGTTTCACGCCGAAATCAAGTAATATTTTTTTAAATTAATGTATTTTATGGCATAATGGGAAGTCATGTAATTGCACCGGTAATCTTCGATGGATCTTTAACTGCTCACCATTATTTACAAATTCTCCAATAAACTTCCTTTAAGGATTTTTCTCGACAACGTATGTTTCGAAGAAAGGGTTGGTTTATGCTATCTACCAACAAGCTGGCTGCTCAGGTCACAATTCAAGAATTATGTACAGTACATTATATTATAAAAGTAAATACTTAATTAAAAAATAAAAGTAAAGTGGAAGTAGCTACCACTACAATAATAATAATAATCAATGGCAACACGCCTAAACTAAACTGTCTTGAAGTGTGTTTCACTAATAATGGCCAGTATTTTAAACATCTGGTGTAATTATTTTCATTGTTTTGTTGCCTCGAATAGATTTTGTTTTGTTTTTTTTTCGTCATAGACTACTTGATTAAAATACAAAAACCGTTAATATAACTGGTATCTTATTTTCAATCTTATGTTATAATAGCTCGTTGAAAAGAGAATTTAAAAACCTATCAAGTAATCTAAAAATCCAATATGGCGCCCATTTAACTTTAGGAAGTTGGTAAATGTTCCTCAAAAGTGGCCATCTTGAATTTTTTTTTGACATCAATTCTAAATTAAACGTATCAAAGACAGTAACTTTTATATAAAACTTTTTTTTATATCTCTTATACTTTCGATGATATAAGACATTAAAGGAAATGACCAATTTTAGTTTTTTTGAATTTACGTCGAACCTATTCGACATTTTGAATTTCCACAAGGAAATTTTAACTAAGCATCTAAAACTGCAAAACATTGTCCATTTAACCAATTCTCTATCTTTAATAATAAGAAAGTTACCCATGCAATCCCACCCGATCTGGGACACACTGTATAGGTGTACCGCTTCGTAAGGAAAGAGATCAGAACTTATATTCAAGAATTAAAGCGCGTTGAGAAAAAAACAAGTGCTCAAGCAGATAATAGTCGAAACGTTGCAATGTTACCGGATCTATAAATCGTCGCGACAAAGCATGAAAGGGGTAGTCTCCGTTATCCATATCTATTAAGTACCGGGAATATTGCGCAGCGTTATCAGATTAATACGGGAGCAAATATTTTCTTCGTTTCGGTGCATATTTTGATAATTGTCCTTGCGTTTAAATTAATTGTTGGGGTTCAAGGTGCAAAACATTTCCGTTGCGTTATTTTTTGGAGTGGCAAGTTACGTTGAAAACAAGTTTGGTAAATCCGCCTAATTTATACGAGGTAGGTACTAATGACATTATAAATAAAACAGCAACCGGTAAAAGAGTTAAAGGCAATTAATTCGTACTTTTGCTGGTTACCAAAACCCTAAGTTATAAGGATAATTTTGGACATTCCATACTGTGGAAAATTGGTAATTTCCAGTAAATGAACCAAATTAGAAGTAATAAATTGTATAAGGAACCTGAAGTACGGCTTTACCCTGGATTCAAAGTCATCGTCAACCGTCGTTCGAGATTCACTGACAACGACCAACCAAATTTTTACCTGTTAATACAAAAGTCGGATTGTATTGTAAAAAAAGGCGTATTTTTTATAAATGATATAACCGCATCCAGACTAAAGATAGGTATTAGTAATTTCTTGTAAAATTAGAATTTCAAATTCATAAATACTATTCTTTTGTGTGGGATAAATTTTTATTTAGCATCCAGGGGCGTGTAAACTTATTTTGAATAGAACTTTGTGCTAGGTGTTTGATTATTATTTACGAATATAAAGATGATAAGGTAAAGGTAATTAATTAGATTTGAGCGTGATTGCACTTTTTGTTTTGTATTAATTACATGAAATACATCTATCTAATAAAAAAACGGGGGTGGGAACGAGAATATTTTCAACAATACATTAAAACAATTCAATTCGTATTTACTTAAGAGTGATTAAACCAGAGCATCAGGTTTTAATTTTCAGATTAGTGGAGATAACGAACCAACCTTCCGCAAGATAGGAGTCATTGAAGGTAGTCATTGAGTTAGGTATTTATTATATTGCTTTACATTAACTGTTACATTAAAATTTTCGCCAGTGCCGTAGAGAATGAAATTTATTTTCTACAATAGGGGTTTCGAATCCCTGTAAATGTAACTAGCCCGTTACACCGTCAGTTTTAAGACGTCCGACGTATCCAAACTAGACCTACATTCCAGCTAGGGTAATCTAAGAAGTATCCATTTCACAGAGGAAACCGATTCAATTTTGTCTGCGACGGAAAACATCGGCACCAGGAAACATTGTTTTAAAAAAGGTATTGCTCAATTTTCAATTTCTAATTGTACAAAATGTACAAAATGTTTGTTTTTATTTTAAATGTTTTTATTTTAAACTCTAATGCCATCTTAACTTTAGGTAATGAGAAATTAACGGTTTCACGAAAAATGAAATGAGGGTAAGTCTAATATTAAAATGATATTTGAAATCAACTTGGAAATCTTCGAAACTTGGCTATAATTTACCCTTTTTTCTATCTCTTATTATTATGCGCATAGAAATATGAACGCACCTACCTATAGATCTCGAATGCAAATACGTAGGTATAGGTAGATATCTTCTTGTATATACCTATATTAAATTGGGTATATGATAGCTAGAAGGCATTTCGTGAAATATGAGTAGATTAAGCGAAAATACCAAGAGAACCACCTTCTCATCTCATCCCCTAAACGTAGGTACATAACAAAATGCCAGAAGTAGAGGTTTAGGTTACGGTTTCACACATCCTATAATATCCCCTTCCGCATAGTTCGCACGCCACCCGTATTGTATTTCGTGAAATGTACACTAAAGACACCCACGCTTTATCTATCTATACAAACTAAGCTTTTAAAGTGCCGTATCAATTTCATTACTTTTAATTTAAATTGGAGGAGTTTTTCTCAGTAGACATTTAACGAACGGAAGTCTATACGGAACGTAGGTATTTAATGGCGGCAATACCTAATCGTATTACGATCGTTTAACGTCTACAAACGTCCCCCTAATATGCTGTAACACGTATAAATAATATTACATGGATATTGGTATGCAAACAGGAAGATGATTGATGAGACGCGCTGATGCAGTTGGGGAACATGTAAACGGGAAGCTTAGAAATACGGGTTGTATAATATCGGATTTTCGCTTCCGGGCGTATCTGCTTTTTGTATAGATGCTCGATATTCAAAGAAAGGGGACAAAACGTTCATAATTCCGCGACTTACTTGCAAATCTAGGATCCGCCGCCGAACTTTGATACCATCCGGACGAGTAATGAGGTGTTAATCCGAGATTTTCGGAAACGGGACAATACTGACCGCCGCCAAATTGGCCCATTACTGGATAACCAGTGTTCATCGCGCCTCCGTTTAATCCACCTCCGGCTCCTGGTGAATTTATGCTACTTCCACTAGAGGTTGATCTGAAAAAATAAATACAGTCAAATTATGTTCGAAGCTACACTCACCGGTATAAATTATAAATAAATAGGTAGATATTAGCTGTATTTATTTACATGACATGCGTGAAATGTGTCCACCAAATGAAGGTGTTAGATCTCAGCACTGAGATCATTTAAAAAGCTACGATTGTTTAGTCTAAATTTCGTTGGTAGGCAAGTAAGTAGGTAGGTACTTCTTAAAAAGTTGGTCTTGGTCGACTTCGGTAAACTAAACCCTGTACTCTTAATAATAATCGACCACGTTCATTCATGCGATGCGATGGAAGCTCCTAGTACTCCGTGCTTCAATTGCCAAAAATTAGGCCTTCATCAAGTTGACTGCCCTGAACCAATAAGGCAGTTGTCTTGTTGGCAATGTGGCTCAAAGACCGTTACGGTAGGGAATTGAGGTTGTTGTTCGGGAAACGGCCCGAAAAACGCTCGTTAAGTCATCTTCGGTCCAGACTACTAACATTTTAAAATCTCTATCCAAACTCAAATTAGACTTTCTGTTATAATATGTAGAAAATGATTTGCGACCTTATGTCCAATTTTTTTGTGGTTCTTATTATCAGATTCTGGCTTCGCGCTCATTTATAAATCCAGACCGTTTCATTAAATTACAAAACCTTAACTTTAAATTTATTGAACAAATTACTTCTTGTACGGTAGCACGGTACCGATGGGACTTCTATTGGTTACATTATTATACCAATACCTTAAAGGATCGTACTGTTTTTTGGTTCCCTACTTTAATAACTAATTTAAGTCTGGGAGTAGATTTTTGGGACAGGATGGGTATTACTCCAAATATTAGTGATGACTGTTGGCACTACTTCGTATACGCCAACGCATCCTAGTGTTGCCATTCTAGAACACTCTCGTCTTACTACTGAGCAACACCATTCCCTACAAACTCTTTTAGGCTCACAATCTTAGACCAATTGCGAGATGCCAAATATCTTAGTTCCCTTGAATTAAGACAGCTTCTTACTGAGCCTGGTCGTGGTCTTTTTCAATTTCGTTGCATGCCCTTTGGGTTGACTAATGCCCCTGTGCATAATTGACACTATTTAAAAACTTAATTGTAACCTAACTTTTTAGTTTACTTGGACGATGTTGCCATCATATCCTAAGACTTTGATTCCCAATTCGGAATTTTAGGTAAATACCGTTTTTTATAAATTAATTGCTGCTGGGTTAACTTATAAAAACGAATGTTACTTTTGTCGTTTAGAACGTAAATATTTAGGTTGTGTTATTGATTCTTTTGGTCGTTTATTAAGGACTTCCGGTTGGTACCGTAAATTTATTCCTGAATTGTCTACAGTTCTTGCTCCTTTAACATAACGTCTTAAGAAAACCACATCACAATGCGAGTTGGTAAGTTGTTGGCGACTTCATGAGTAAATTTGTTCATCTTTTTCCCGTAAAGACGGCGGATGCCAAACCTCTTGTTAAATATATCTATCTAAGATCATGTATTTCTTGTTTATAGAGCTCCGTAATTTCTTATTTGTGACAACGGTGTGCAAATACGAAGACGGACTTTGCTTTAGACCTTGTGAACGCTATCGTGTAAAGGTTCGGTATACTCCTTTTTGTAATTCACAGACCGAACCTGCGGAGAGGGAGAATCATGTGGAATAGCCATTTACGGTAAAAACAATCATAAACATTGGTACGTTTTGCTTCGATAACCTGTGTTCTTCAAATCTCAAAACACGAAACCATTGGTGTTAATCCCTCCCGTGCTACTTTTGAGAAAGAAGTTCGTATTCGAAGAGACAGCTTCGATACTGACTTGACGAACCTGATTGACGTAGAACAATAGTTAGCGCAACAACAAGAAAAGTAGATACGGCATTATTGCACGAATTAGAAAGCGTAAAAATATGCCACTAAAGGTTATTCTGCTAAGTTAGCTCCCAAATTGTTAGGACATTTTACAGTTAACCGTAAAATTGGGTATATGACCTAAGAGATTCTAAGGGAAAATCTTCTGGAACGTGGCACGTTTAAAATCTCAAACCTTATATTGAACCCGATGATCATAGTTAGACGTTTGTTTTTGCCGGATTGCTCGTTTGGTTTTGCTTCACAATTTTCAGGTATTCTTTTTTCGGATTTGACCTCAACATTTATTTATGTTCCATATTTGGAATTTTTCGTCCTGTCGAAGGAGAGGAGAAGAGTAACCGTTTATTTCTACCATTGCGTAAACTTTAGATTCGATGGCTGATTGGCATTATAGTAGGGCAGCTAGTGGCACATTCACAACAGTCTTATTATTGTTGATTTTTAGATATAAGATAATTATGTATATGGTAATAACATTTCCCAGCGTCTGCCAGCAATTTCGACGATGGCGCGGCGGTGGTGGGTGGTCGAAGATTTTGGAAAATCAAACCGTTTTATTATTAATGAACCTTGCTTTATTTGATTTATATGAATGTACTGAATTTCAGTACATTCATATAAATTTACCATTTGGTAAATAATTATGCAAGACGATTTTGGCGGAATATAGACTTTGAATGACGCCTTTAATTGCACGTAATAGGGAATTGTATTTATAATAGCATAAACGAGGACAATCACTGCCATCCCATTGGCGCACATGACTAGATCGCCGACTTGGACGTCGCGGGTTCGAACCCCAGATGCGCGCGTATTTTTTATGCATTCAATGTAAAAAAAGAATGTTTTACGGCAACACATAAGAAGAGGATTTTCGGTCCGGTAAATCAACGAATGTAAGTTAAAAACTCTGACACTAGCTCTTAGATTACGCTAACTGATAGTTTATGCGGCGGGTTTGAACCAAAGCATATGCAGCGAAAGTTTAACCCACTGTTATCATTTAGGCGATTGGCGAGGTTAAAGAAACCAAAAATCTGCATTGAAGAGAAGTAAAAAACTAGGGTCTATTGAATCCAAGTAGACACTGAGAATATATATGCAGCAACATGTATAGAAGGAGAAGATCAGTTTTAATGAGATGATGGAAGTAATTAAAGAAATCACCAAGGAGGAAAGCTGTTATCCATACAGTCTTGGTGGTTAAAAGAGTGTTTTTTGCATGTATCAAGACCCATCCAAGTATTGAAACTTCAAAAAAGAAACAAAGGAAAATTGGAAATGCATGAGTCTTGGCATCGCAAAAACTGTAAATAATATCCACATGTGGATCTGCTCCATTTGGTACATTTCATGTTCATTTTCCGGAACATTTCATAATATTTTCATTTTATAAAAATGTTAGTAACCAATTAAATCTTTCCTTAAGTATTTTCAGTTGTTGGTTTAACGTTCACCGATTAACATAATGTGTATGATGGATCGTATATTTATATTATCGAAAGTGCCTAGGAATTTCAAGTGCACACTTAAGAGTTATTATTACTAAATTATATTCTTCCTGATAAATAGTTCAACTAGACTGTTGTAGTTCCCCAACGAATGACTAATAAGAAACATTGAACCGATAAGTGTTAAAGATGTGTATAGTCATTTTTAATACCGTTTGAATTAGTTTATGTGTCTGTCTGTTATGTGTATTATAATTAGTATGTATCTACCTATGTATACAATGGACGTAACGCAATACGTAATCGGCATACTAATTCGGTCTACTTATCCAAAATATAAACAATAAATCTTTTTTATAGGAAACCCTTCAAATGCTTCTAATTTAATAATGTACCTACAAAACAGAAATTATAAAGGTTGCCGCACACTTGTTCGTTCTGTTCCGTCACGGCCGTCGACGGTTCGGGCTAACGCACACGAGGTATCTGCCAACTACACCGCACCGTATCATGATCATACTATGAACGTGTCAGGCATGGAAAGTAAACCACACGGACTACTATGCCCACTAGACCGTATCACCACTTTATCATACCCGTGTGTAAGGTTTCCGTTGTCTCGGTTGTACTTGAAACAAACTCGTCAGGAAGAGGATGCGAAACGAAAAGTCGAGGGAGTAGTTGATGATGAAGAACAATTTTATATGTACTTCCGTGTGTTCATCCTTTCTGCGCCTTCGCGCACCGGTTTGTGGCCGTCGCGTGCCATGCAAGGAGCGTACCGGCACCGGCAAAATATTCTCAAGGACTATATTGTTGACGCTCCGTGCATACCACGTTACGGTGGTCGGTGACAAAACAGTCTAGTGGGCATAGCATCATACTATTCTATACAAACAATATTTTTTTGCCTGGCATGGTCATCGTATATTGTACGTTGTAGTGGGTAGACACCTTTATGAGTTGTGACGTAACGTTAAGGAACGGGCTAATGTGCGCAGAGACGTTTAATTCAATGTCTTTTATGTTGAACGTGTTTTAACGGTCCATAACGGAACGGAACGGACAAGTGTGCGACAACCTTAAGTCGGTGTATGCATGAAAAGGGTTTCAATCACAAAGCGTAAAAAAGGGCATCTTCGTACGTAGACATTTTCTAGTTTAAAAATTATTGAGTTGACAAATTAATCTGTGATGTACCCGCGACTTTGCTTAACTGATGGTAGGAGTAGTTATTTCAGTTTAAATATCTTTTCGTGAGGTTTGAAAATTAGTGGGCCCATGTTGTGATTGAATGCTCGTATTATAGTCACCTCACGAAGCTTTCTGATTTTATAGCTACATTTTGTTTGTGATTATGTACGTGTGTTTCGACAGTTGCTTTGTTAGGGTTAGCGTTAGGGCCCCGTTTTGTTGGAACCTTGAAACGCGGGTGCAATGGTGAAGCTCGGCCTTAGGTTACCCAGGGGCCAAAAGCGTACTTAAAGGGTGTTCTCGTTGTGCTCTTATTTTGTGTAGGTACTTTTCCTTTCTATTCAAAATGCTCTCTGCAGAGCAACTAACTCCTGGCGTTTTTATATCGCGCTGACATAACATATTATAAGTAGGTACTGTGACCTGTGTGGTTGGTTTTTGTTGAACCAAGAGTTTTACGTTTGGCACAGATGCACG